AAGATGCTGGAGAGCCATTCTAATCTCGCTCAGACTGACGTCCGTAATATCATCGGAATAGTGTCGGATAAGACTTGCTCATGGATCGTTACTCACACTTGCGTGTGGCTCTAACAATGATGTGTACAGCTACCCATAGAACCTCTCAATCTCACTCAAAATCTCAGATATCACACTAGGACTTCAACGGTGACAGTTGGCTCTTTCTGGCAGACCGCTCGATCGCTGCGATGAAGATGCGTAAGTTCTGCCACATTTGGAGATCTGTCTGTTCAGTTGCCTGTATGCTGTCAAATCTGTTGAAGGCTGCAGCCTCATTTCCCGTCTAACAGCCATGAGATTAAGAGTGTGATCGGAGAGTTTTTGTGTTCTTCTGCGGCGGGTCTTGCAGAACTTAGCTCCGACCGCATAGACAGTGCCCACGAGCTTATCATTCATATCGTTCACTGCATCGCAGTCTTCTAGGCACTGAACACGGTTTTGTAATTCGAGCTGAAAGGTTTCGGAAATTTGAATTAAAGCATGAAGGGGACGGAGCGTTGACTTCATTAGATGAGACCTCTCCAACTAAACGTATAGGTTCATCATCATCATCATCATTACAGCCCTTCACAAGTTCACTGCTGAACATAGGCCTCCCCCAAAGAATGCCACAAAGCACGGTCCTGAGCCACCTGCATCCATCGACTTCCTGCATGTCTTACCAGGTCGTCACTCCATCTCGTGGGGGGACGCCCTACACTTCGCCTACCGGTACGAGGCCGCCACTCGAGAACCTTTCTTCTCCATCGGTTGTCGGTTCTTCGAGCTATATGGCCGGCCCACTGCCACTTCAGCTTACTAATCCGTTGGGCTATGTCGGTTACTCTGGTTCTACTGCGGATATCCTCATTCCTAAGTTTATCACGCAGAGAAACTCCGAGCATAGCCCTCTCCATAGCTCGCTGAGCGACCTTGAGCTTTCTCATCCGGCCAGCAGTGAAGGACCACGTCTCAGTTCCGTAAGTCATCACTGGCAACACGCACTGGTTGTACAATTTCGTTTTAAGGTTTTGAGGTATGTCTGACGAGAAGATGTGTCTTAGCTTCCCGAACGCTGCCCAGCCGAGTTGAATCCGTCGATTGACCTCTCGGTCGAAGTTGGACTTACCTAGTCGGACTATTTGTCCCAGGTAAATATACTCGTCAACAACTTCGAGCTTAGTGTTCCCAACAACTACCGGCATAGGTGTGACATGGACATTAAACATGATCTTAGTTTTGTCCATGTTCATCTTAAGACCTATCCGTTGGGAAACACTATTGAGGTCATTGAGCATAGTGCTTAGGTCCTCCAGCGATTCTGCCATAAGGACTATATCGTCGGCAAATCGAAGGTGAGTGATGTACTCGCCATTGATGTTGATACCGTATCCTTTCCAGTCCAGAAGCTTGAAAACGTCTTCCAATGCAGCGGTGAAGAGTTTTGGGGATATGACGTCACCCTGTCTTACACCTCTCTGCAATTGGATAGGTTTCGTACTCTGGTTCTGTACTCGGATAGCCATCGTAGCCCTACTGTACAAGCACTTCAACACTTCGATATACCGACAGTCAACTTAGCACCGCTGAAGGGACTGCAGCACCGCCCAAATTTCGACGGAATCAAAGGCTTTCTCATAGTCCACATACGCCAGACATAGTGGCCAATTGTACTCTTCGGACTTCTGTACAATTTGCCGAAGGGTATGTATGTGGTCTATGGTGCTAAAGCCCTTTCGGAAACCGGCTTGTTCGGGAGGCTGGAAGTTGTCAAGTCTGCGCGCGAGACGATTCGTAATGACTCTCGAAAACAGCACGTAGACGCGGCTCAGAAGGGAAATCGGTCTGTAGTTCTTCAAGAGAGCGTTGTCACCTTTCTTGAAGAACAAGAAAATGCGCTTCTAACTATTGGATGATCGCTACCAGTATTCATTCTCGCGATCACTGAGACGTCACTGAACAGTTGTCGTCTGTTCGTCGTAATAAAGTCAATATCATTTTTTGTCGAACTGTCGGGGCTCGACCAGGTCCACTTTATGTGGGGCCGCTTCTGGAAGAAAAAATTTATCATAAAGAGAACTCTATGAAGTCGGCCAGCTGCTGGCCCCTTGGGTTCCGTTGCCCTATTCCAAATTTCCCTACTTTCTCGCCGTTCTCTCTTGTGCCTAGTTTTGAAGTCTCCCATTAACACCGTGTAGTGAGCTTTGGAGGAATGCATGGCTTTAGAGATATCCTCATATATTTTCTTCACCTCCTCATCGGGATGTTCCGAGGTTGGTGCGTAAACCTGTATGACTTTTGACGAATACCGTTTGGTGATTCTGAGTATAAGGTACGCAACTCAATCTTTACAACGTTGTTAACGAGAGACTTGTAGACGATAAATCCGACACCTCCTTAGGACAGATAGTCGCCCTTCCGGTGATAGAACAAGTTGCTGCATCCGAGGATTACAGTGTCCTCCCCCTCTCTTCGGACCCCGGATAATCCTATAATATGCCAGCGTAACTTATCTATCTCGTCTTCCAGCTTCAGGATCTTCTCGTCAGTCCTCAGGGTGCGTGCGTTGTATGTTGCCAGATCGAGTCGTCTTAGGTGACAATCGAACCTTCACCGAATATTCTTAGCACCCCCTGCCCCGCCGTTACCATGGTCGCCACCGTAGCCTGGAATAGCGGGGCCGCCGGAGACTGGGGGCCGTCTCTTCTTAACTTTCATATCATGGGGCTTAACTTTCATATATTTGCCATAGTTGCCAGCTTGGCGAGCGGGTTGCCAACCGCAGTTTTTTTATTGTAATCTTGTTGTTATCAGGAAGATGCTGTGCCATGCCATCTCCTGCCTTTTTCCACTGTCGCCTCTTTCGACACCCACGGGAAGATATGGGGTAGTGGATGTTCTTAACCGCCACTACACGGCAATCCTATCAAATGACCGACAAATATTTATTGATTTAATAAGCTTGCAAGTTTTAGAGAAACCAAAACGGTAATAAAATACTCGTACTGTCACACAGAGAAGCGCATTGAGATAGGACATAATCAAAAATATCCAAAAAATGACAGGGATAGAAACTACGAAGGTTAACAAAACTAGCACACAGTCCATCTAATGGTATATATATGCTGTAGACCAAAGATCCTCCTAACCCTGATACTATTATTAGTTCCTATTATCTATCCTTGATTAAGAATGAAAATGCAGATGGATTATTACCCCTGAGGATTAAGAAGAGAAATTAATATAAGAAGGGGGTCACCGGTTCGTTGAAAGGTTTTAAAAAATATCTTTCTTTGGCAGGGCTTAATTGTTTAAAAAATAGTATGTAAGTATATAAATGGCAGTATCAATAATCCATAGTTGTAGTTTTACGCTCTGTTACCGTTACAGCCTATTAAAGTCCACTGCGGAACATAGGCCTCCTCCATAGATTACCTCATAGGAGGGATATTTGTTATAGTTATCACGTTTGGCAAGTGGTTTGGCAACCAAATTTTTTTTTATTTTTATTAATTATTAGGAAGACGCTGCTGCCCATCTCCTGATTTGTTTCCCTATGTCGCCTCGTACGACATCCACGGGATGATATGGGATAGTGGATATTCTTACACCGCCACTACACGGCAATTTTATGCTCATTGCAAAGAACTCGCCCACAACACTCCCCTTCTTGCCTCAGCCAGTATCGGAATGCTCGGAGTCGACATATCGAGTGACGTGCAGTTTCGTGGTCACTTGGAAGAGAAGGTCAAATTGGCCTCTAAAAAGCTTGGCGTGCTCAGCAGAGCGGGACAGTAATTCATGACGGTACACCGCCTGCAACTTTACAAGGCGCAGGTTCGGCCTCACATGGAATACTCTCTGGGCAGGGGCTCCCCAGTGCCAGCTTCTTCCACTTGACCGCATCCAGCACAGAGTGGCTCGAATCGTCGACGACCGAGTCCTTTCCGATCAGCTCGATTCATTGGCACTGCGAAGAAATGTTGCATTCCTTTGCATTTTCTTTCGCATTTACCACGGGAAGTGCTCTGAGGAATTGTTCGGATTAATCCCAGCCGCCAAATTTCACGAACGCACATCGCGGCAGAATTCCCGATACCATCCACAGCATCTGGATGATTGGCGGTCCACCACTGTGCGATTTAGAAGATGTTCTCTTCCTCGCACAACTTCCTTGTGGAATCGATTACCATCAGCGATTTTCCCGGACCGATACGACTTAGGGCCCTTCAAGAAAAGAGCCTACTCCTTTTTAAAAGGCCGGCAACGCATCTGCAATACCCCTGGTTTCCCTGGTGTTGCAGTTGTTCATGGACGGCGGTAGTAATTTACCATCAGGTGAGCCGCATGCTCGTTTTCCCCCTCTCCTATAAAAAAATAAAAATAGAAGGTACAGTCAAATTGGACAGAAAGTACGTTTACTAGGGTTGACTGATAAATCATTCCAATAGACATTAAGTCCGCTAATTTCTATTTTCTATTTTATTTTAAATAAAACGTTACCTCCATACTAGTATTATCTCCTGTATCGTGGCAGTTTACATACATAAATTTCACAAGGACAAACATCCAGACCCGGAACAATTATTTGTAGCCCATACATATACTTGTTCCGTGCGGGATTCGAACCCGCGGCCCTTGGCGCTGCAACTCATTGCTAGGCCACTGCGCCACGGAATCGTCGAATATCTTTTATTTGATGTGGTTGTAATAAAGAATAAATAAATTAATTGATTTTAACAACAAATTTCAACGGGGCAGAGCTGCAGTATATTATGACAACCCATCTGCATTTTGGTTCATAAACGAGAATAGATTTACTCGTAGGTGTCTATGGACTTACAGCATCCACTCAAAATCAGGTTGATTGAGCTATATTATTTTAAGAAATTGCTATGAAAACCTAGTAGGTGTAGGAAATGCGAATCAGATATATATGTAGATAAGTATACGAAGTAATATTCTACTGCTTGTTTTAGGGGGCGCACGTGAAGGCGGACTGGTGTGGCGCGGGTGCTCAGGCGGCTGCGACACAGAAGATGGCACGGCGGGAACGCTCTCCGACGGCAACCTCAACCCAGGAGACAAGGTATTATTATGATCATTATAATATGTTGGCGTTTGCCAAAAAAACAATTATTTCTTACGTAGAAAAAAGTTTTCATTTCAGTGTTATTCCATGGCACAAAATAAAGCTCTCCTAATTTTGTATCCATGGTGAGTACGTCTCTAAGAACGCATTCATAACTCTCTTTCTCGACGATGTTATAAAAGTAGGTTAAGGTCGACAGCATTACTATTTCGTCAGTTGGAGAATTTATTTCATGCACCTGGTGGTGTAAAATAAATTTTACAGATTGTGAGAATATTTAAAACTAGCTTTTTATGCTTTATGCGACACCGTCTGCGTAGAACTTAAACAAATAACCTGCTCATTTATAATAGTGTTATGCAAATACTTCAATTATCAAAAAACTATTTTATACTCAATTTTATTGCTATTATTTCGAAAGCCATGAGCAATATTGGAAAAATTTTTGAATTAAAAATTGATGATCTATTATTTTTACGTAAAAAAGGTCATATCACCTTACCCTTCAACACTCATAGTTTTGCCGTACAATGGTGTTGAAGTAGAGGAAAATTAAAATTATAAAAATCTACTTTGCAGCAAATCTTTAAAAGATAGATAGTGTAAAGACCTTTTTGTGTAAAATTGAAAATCAATAAAGTTTTTTTCTAAACATTTCTTTCTTTCTCATATAGTTTATGATAGATTAGATTCTCATATTATTGTATGTGAATCTTCAAAAACATTCATCAAATCCGTTTATTGATTTCACAAAAAGATATCCTCTATTGTTCCGGAATTAATATAGCCTAGTGCCTAGATCACTCCTGGAATTGGTGTCTATCTATTCGTTAATCTATTAACACTCAATTAACCCTTAGCTCAATAAAGGGCAGTTATATCGATATTACAGACAGACACTTCAACTTTATTTATATGTATTTGAGATTTTAAATTATTCAATTACCTACGAATGCAAAATATTCGTTTTAAATTTTGCAAAATAGATTTTTACAGTTTCTCAATTACCTTTCGCAAATGTAAGCATTAAATCTAGTTCAACAAAACCATTGCGATAGAATGAATTGGTCAGCAAGTTGTTATATATAATTTGCATATTTTTAGTTTCTCCTTCTTCAAGGATAATCGAATACTAAATATTTTTTTATAAAATTGAAGTAACAGAGGAAGTTACAGTCCACCTGATGGTAAGTGGCTTTTTTTTATAGGATAAGGGTGACAAACGAGCACACAGTCCACCTGATGGTAAGTGGTTGCTGCGGCCCATAGACATCTACATCTATCCTCTGTTACAAATCAAAATGTAGATGCGTTGTCACCCGTGAGAACTAAGATGGAATGCCTCATTTCCAGTAAAAAGGGCCTCCGGCCACCTGCACTCACCAAGCGAAACGCAGAGGTAAACCTCTACTTCACGCTGGTTTTCTGTGAGGTCGTGGTACTATCCCGGTTCAAGCCAGCCCATCCGTGCGACAGCAAAAGCTGCCGCGTGGCTCTACCACTGTTAAAAACTATTGCAAACTATTACAAACTTCAAACAAAAAAGGCTACATATGCTTTGTCATCCCTGGAGACTGAGATGAAATGCTTTACAGTCTGAAATTATACTGTTTCTCTATACTCTTACTAAATAGGTAATATGGTGGTACCTGCCCAGAGGAACAGGAAGAAAAGGAGTACTACCATCTAGTTTAAAATAACTCCCTTTCAATAAGACTCGGTAGCGCATTAGCTAACCATTTGAGCGCTACGCTACAAGTTGCAGATTCGAAATCTGCACGGAACAAATACTTATATACAAATAATTACTAAGGATCTGATTGTTTCTATGCGCAATTTATGTGAAATGTCTCAATGATATATAGGAACTTCTAGGGATGTACTTAATTTGTTTCTTCTTTTATAAAACTGAAATCATTAACGAATGTAACAAAGGTTGCTATCAAAAATTCTATTCCCTTACATAAACATAAAACATAAACACTCACGCCTGTCACCCAGAGGAGTAGGCAGAGATTATGGACTTCCATTTGGCACGATCCTGACACACCTCTCTCGCTTCCTCCACATCCATATACCTACGCATACACGCTCGTCGGTTAAAGGTACTCTTGATTTGGCCCATTTTTAATATATCGCCAATTTGGTCGATAAACTTTCGCCTAGGGCGACCCTTCCCGACTATGCCGTTCACCTCTGCAACATAAATTTGCTTTGTCACTCTTTCCTCATTCATTATTTCTACATGGCCAAACCACCGAAGCATTCCTTTCTTAATCCTGGTCACAACATCATCTTGCAAACCACACTCTTCTCTTGTTAAACAATTTCTCACTCTGTCATTCAGATTCATCCCTAACATACTCCTTAATGACCGCATTTCTACAGCATTTATTCTACTCTCGTGCTTCTTCTGCCACACCCAACTTTCACTACCATACATTAAAGTAGGTACTAACACAGCATTGTGAATTGCCATACGTGCCTTTTTGGACACATTCTGACTTTTCACAATAGAGTGTAGAGCCCCATTCATTCTATTTCCTGCATTCACTCGTCGTTCTATATCCTTATCATATCTACCATCCCTGCTAAACACACATCACAAATATACAAACTCATCTACTTGCTCTACCAACTCCCCTTCTATTCTTATTTCACATATCGTTTTACTTTCTTCTCTATCAAAAACCATAACTTTCGTCTTACTTGCGTTCACTTTCATTCCCTTTTCTTTTAATGTCCTGTTCATTAATGTAACCATCATTTGCAACTCGGCTGCCGACGATGCAAGTATGACTTGATTATCGGCGTACAAAAGGCATTTGACGGTTAACTCGCCCATTCTTAACCCGCATTCTTCTACTTTCAAATTTTCCAAACAACTGTCCATAAATAGGTTGAACAACCACGGGGAAGCCACACAGCCCTGTCTGACACCTTTATGGATGCCAAACCAGTCCGAGTAGGCCCCGTTGATCCTGACACAAGCACTAGAGTCCCTATATAGAGACTTCAATGCCTGTATCAGACCAGCGGTCAACCCAAATGAGTTCAGTGTTTGCCATAACACATCCCTGTCCACTCTGTCATAAGCCTTCTCCAAGTCTATGAACGCACAAAAAACTTTTTGGTTTTTGGCCAAAAACTTCTCCGCGATCATGCGCATGGAAAAGACCTGATCCGTACATCCCATTCCCTTTCTAAATCTTGCTAGCACATCCCAAATTTTTCCATCAGTTTCTTTCATAACTCTTTCCATTAGTACCTTAGCATACAGTTTTCCCACAATGCTAAGAAGGCTGATACCACGGTAGTTTTTACAGTCCTGTTGTGATCCTTTTCCCTTATTTATTGGGACTATCACGGCTTTGCACCAGTCTCCCGGTACCCGCTTAAGTTCCCAACATAAATTAAACAAGGTGTACAGCAGGTCTGCCACCACTCCTTCTCCAGCCCTTAGCATTTCGAGAGATACTCTATCATAACCGGCTGCCTTACCTGCTTTCATACTTTTCATTGCTTTCATTATTTCATCTATACTTATATCTCTATCTATTTCCTCTTCTTTCGGAATTTCTATTTCATTTAATTCAAACGTCTCATCACTCATAAACACGCTTTCAAAGTATTCCTTCCATCTCCTTAAACTCAAAACTTCGTCTTTCAGAATACAGCCATTCTGGTCTCGTATAGCATTCATTCTAGGCTGTTTTGAATGTCCCCTGGTAGTTCTTACGAGTTTCCAGAACATTTTAATGTTTGCCTGGAAGTTATCCGATATTCTTCTATCATTCTTATCCGTTCTTTCTTGCTTTTTCCTTTCAACTACTTCTTTTACTCTCTTATTTAGGTGTCTAAAAACTGCCTTTTTCCTTTCAATATCATCATTCATACTGCTAGAATTACTAGTCTTAGTTGCTAGTAAATCTAACCATGCTTTCTTCTTTGCTTCAACTTCCATCCGTACCTCATCATCCCACCATAACGTGTTATTTTTCCTTTCATTCGTTCTTCCCTTCTACTCATTATGTATTTAGTAACCAAGAACTTCGCCGTAATTATGTAGCAAACAACAGAATTAAGGGCGATGCTTCACTAGAAAAGTTTGTTACTGATCTTGTTTGAAGTCTCTTTAACTAAGAGATGAAACAAATAGCAACTTAAGCGCCCGAAGATCAAATTATTTTGTTCGACAAGTTTATTACTTTTGTGTCTACTTGTTTGTTTTTCTGAAAGAAAAGTAAAGATCAAAAAAGAAAAGGTAAGTCGAAGAATATGTGTTAAGAATGAGAGGCTTTATTGATAAGTTCTAGTGGGCGTATAAGTGACTGGCATATTTTTTTCGTATCTAATAGGTTTATAGTATTAGTGAGAATGAGAGATGAAAGAAAGTAAACGAGACCAATAATTATCACAAAATTTTATATGAGAAATAAAATAAAATGTAAGAAGTAATAATTTTTCATTTTTAGATTGTAAAAATGTACACTTTTAAACTATTACTTGTATATTTTTTTTTCTATTGTCTTAATACTTTCTCTACTTAGAGCTAAATCTACTCCCGTTTTGAATGCAAACAGTTTTATTCTAAGATCTCTTTAAGTCTACATTTTAGTTGAAAAAAATATTAATATAACCTACCACGGTTAAAAAACATGTCGGGCAAGACTTGAAGTCTGTTGTTTATTCTTTTCCTTTTTTTAACGATAGAGTTTTTAATGATAGAGGCTCTACGCAATTCTCATATAAAACATCTTGAAAATTATGTCTTGTAATTTGTTAGAACATGCTCTAGTTAATACAAAGACCTGGTAGAATTCTTTATCTTAGTCTTAGAGTTATGATGAGAGCGTGCATTTGTATTTTCGTGCACACTTGTACTATTAGGTTCTACATAGTACTTTCAACAGTTGGATTGGAGAACCGTCACACTTATATTTTTCAGTCTTAACTCCGCGCAATAAATAACCTATTATTATTTACCTATTATTATATTTTATCGCGTTTAACTGTACCTTTTTTAAATTCCCGGCTTTACGAGTGTCAATAGAAAACGGAAGTGTTTGAGTTCTCGGTTAATCTGGGTTCAGAACGAGCTCACTGTATTTTACAGACTGCAGACTTCACACACTCTATTGATATTAGGATATTTTAATCTAAGTTTCAATAGTAGCGATCTACAAGTGATTTTCAATAGTGCAAAACTAACACTGAATAGTCGTCACTTAGAAAATAATGATTTTTAAATTGCTAATAGGTCTTACAAAATCCATAATCCATTTACAATATCTGTCTAAAATATTTTATTTTATTATTTATAAAAGATTGAATGGGTTTCAATTTACACATATAGTTAAATATTTTTCATCTCATTTCATTGAAATAGCAATGACTTTTTATTGTAGTTTTTAATAAATGTACAATAGATTCTTACAAAACGATTGATGCAAATAAAATTAATCATATATTGATTAATTTTATTTCCATCAATGTTTAATTGATGCATTCCTTAACAATTTTAAAAATGTTAAATGTTAAATAAAATGTAAATATTGCGTTATCTATACATCTACATTTGTACATATAATTAAAATTATAGTGTCTGTCTGTAATATCGAAATAAATGCCTTTTATCGAGCTCAGGGGTCATAAGTATTGGTAAAATTGTAAAACGTCTGTCTGTCTGTTTGCCTGTCCGGGTTAATCTTCAGAAGAAAACTTCACAAACAGATAGAGATAGAGCAGTACTAATGATTTTACTATATATACGTATTTTAATCGAAAAACTTGGAGACTTTTTGTTGTAAATGGAAAAAAAATCCCACCCAGGCGAAGTCCAAGGCGATTCACTAGTACAAAATATAGAATAAGCGATAAGGGAACATTAGAAATAACACAAAATTCACAGCTCATTCAGTCAATCTGTGAGTAATTATTTGTAGTAATTCATATTATAAATAAATTTTAGCTTTCTGCACTCCTTCTCCATATAAACTATATCTATGCCAAATCTCACACTCCTCCGTGCGCGCAATATGCTTAAAAAGGGGTACAAAGTTTTCCCTTCACGTATTAATGTATAGATATATTTCTTATATCTTTCATCAACTCGTACACTTTTTATTTCAAATGCCACTACAAGTACCACCTGCTGATTACAGGACGAGAGGACCGATTGATGATGAAATCTATCAAAACTGCTGAACTTTAATTTCACAAGCTGATAACAGAAACCGTGTAGGTATAGTGTAACAGTGGAGTGGCGGTGTAAGAATACCCACTACACCATATCATCCCGTGGGTGTCGTAAGAGGCGACGGAGGATAACTAAAACAGGCGATGGTCAGCAGCATCTTCCTGATAACAAGTGAACAAAAAAAAAACTGCGGTTGCCAACCAGCCTGCCAAGTGTGATGGCAAGATCACCACTATGAGGCAATCTATGGGGGAGGCCTATGTGCAGCAGTAGACTTTTATAGGCTGTAATAGATATATAGATAGATAACAGAAAACAGCAATAACAGTGTGGTGAATATAGGAAAATCATCTTTGGCAGTAGGCGCATTCTAAAAAAAGTATGTGGAGTATTGGGCTTAAACTATTGTAACTTTGATGATGTAATTGTTTGTGTTGATTGCGTAGTTGGAGGGGTCGGACGCAGCTACGGACGACCCTGTTCACCTCAAGAGACGGGTGGGACTCTTCAGTGGGGTGGCTCTAATCGTCGGCACCATGATAGGTAAGATGATTTTATAACCAAGATTCATATAAATTATTACGTTCAAGTCCTTTTTACAGTTAGTGATTTTGTTTCTTTCTTTAAATTTGCGGGGTTAACTTAAATTGCGAAATTGCTAATTGTTATATAGAGACGATTTATTTGCTATAATGGTAATTTTATCGTTTGATTGAGTTTGATTGTTTCACATTTTTTAATAAAAAAACATGACTATAATAAGTAGTAAAAAGTTATTTCAAAATGTATTCATATTCATATAATAATGAGGTTTTTTACTCGCAGCGCGTCATTAATAAGTACTAATTAGTTCTTATAAATGATGTCACGAATTTCAATTTTCAGCATTGTGATTGACAGAAATTTATATAAAATTGTTTCAAAAAGAGAAACTTATTAATAAGCGTAGTCATGACAAAAATAGATAACCAACTATTTGAATCGTACCGAAAGTTATGTTACTGACGTTAGCTAGTCGTATGACCTGACGTCTGTTTAGCCGTAAATCTCATACTTGGCAAGGCCTGAATTGCATAACAAAACTTATGACGTTAATAATTGTTTTAAATATTATTATAATGTACCACAACTATAATCTTAGTCTACAATATGTGTTACTAATTATGGTAATATGGTCATCCGGTTAATATGGTCACTTTCTTATAACTCTAAAACTACAGTTTTGTTTGCATAGATGTTTCTGTGATACGATAGCTCTGCATCAGTCAATCAAATAATAAAGAGTCAAAAAGACGCTGCTTTATCGACGCCATTTTGACAGTTGACTTTTTCGTAAATATTTTAGTCGATTTTAGTATTGTGTAGGGCAGTTAGTTTTTTTTAAGTTGATTTTACGAAGTATTCCTAATTATTGCCAAAGCTTGTTTGCTATTTTTTTCTTAATATTTTAGTTACTTTTGATTTTGATTTTGTTATTTCCTCTTAGTTTTGGTTTTATAGTGCGGCAAAGTTTAATGTGACCATATTACCCTCACATACCTTATTAACAAAATAATGTACTCTAGCCCTACTGCTGGTCAGAGGTCTCCTCTCATTTCTGAGACAATTAGTATCGATAAGTCCGCCGTACTGCTTCAGCACTGAAATTGCAAATAACAATTTTGTAAGTGTCGGGCATAAACCAGGGTTGCTCGTTATTCACTTATTTTAACCAAATATTATTGTATATATTAAATGTGCAAACAGTTAATCATTTTATTTCATTGGCTTAAATATTGACTCAACATCTGTTAGCTTTATGTATACTCACGTGATAACCAAATAAAAAAAGATAATGATCATGTGCGAAGTAAACCTTGACACAGGCTGTATTTATGTAAAATACATGTCCGATGTTAAAACTTCTTTACGTCATAGTCAATTTGAAGTATAAATATTAACAGAAATAATTTAAATTAACTAAACGTTTTGTATTCGACAAACATGCGATTACAAATTATAACTAATTAACATTTTCAATTAATTTGTTTTGTGCGTGTTGTTTAAGTTTTCTTAAACTCTAATATTATTGAGTTTTTTAATCGAACTCTTAATTAAATTACAATAAAAGTTGGCCAAAACAAGCTTACTTTAACTATGAGTATGTAGGAATAGCACTTTGCTCTCGTAAGCATATTTTTATTTCGTATCATATTGAGAAAAAGTTTGTGGTTTTAACCCATCTACGTCCTGCACCAAGTCCTCACTCCATCTCATGCGGGGCCGGGTTTTTCCCCGTTTGTCGGTTCTTCGAGCTTTATGGCCGGCCTATTGTAACTTCAGCTTACTGATCCGTTAGGCCATGTCGGCTCTGGTTCTATTGCGGATATCCTCATTTCTTAGTCTATCACGCAGAGAAGCTCCAAGCATAGCCTCCTCATACGGCCAGTAGTAACTTACCTAGTCGGACAATTAGTCCCAGGTAAACATACTCCTCAACAGCTTCGCCTCCTAAAACTATCGGCATAGGGACGTTACGCATGGCCTTTATTTTTTCCATTTGTGTCATTTTAAAACCTATCCTTTTTGATACAGACTCTATTGAGTTCATTTAGCAGAATGCTGATATAGTCATTATGGCAGAATCACTGGAGATTCTGCCGGAATGACTTTTTTCTTGTCTGTCTGTCGTTCCGGGTGGAATATTGCAAATCAAATTTCGATCACTTCCCGATGAGCTAGAGACTTGAAATTTTGAACATAACTCAGAATCGGATGAAACGTGGTATATTAAATTTTTTAATACAATATTTTTTTTTAAAAATCGCTTTCATATTACTTTTTCGGAGTGGTCTGCGTTCTCATTTGATATTTTAATTTAATATTAAAAACGCGAACAGGAATGTACATTGGTCATATTTTATTAACTTAAAACCGTGATACTATTTTTAACTACTATAAAACTGCAACTATTAAGTAATAATATCTATGATTATTCATTGCACAAATACTTTAAGTTAGATGCCGTCTTTGTCTTGTCTTTTTTTCTGAGATGTTAGAGATAGTACTGTTAACCTTTTGGCTTTTATATCTTCATCTGACTCAGGGCTATGTAAGCATCAGGCTAGGTGGGCTTCAGCGTGAGAGAATCCACTCCCGTGGGTGGCAACTGACAAAAATGAAACAGGAGATGGGCAGTAGCATCTTCATGATAGTAACTCAAAATAAAAATAAAACACTACCGTTGCCAACCCGCCTCCCCAGCGTGGCAATTATGCAAATATCCCCCAATGAAGCAACATTTCAGGGAAAGTCCTTTCAGTCCGTTCAGCATTGGGAGTTTTAATACAGTACCTATCCGAGTTACGAGTTAATGTCTAAATAAAGAAATGTACATTGTTTTATGTTTCTGTGAATCATCGTCATGCAAAGGTTGTTGATCTTAAAACATTTTTTTTCTAGGATCCGGAATTTTCGTCTCGCCCTCTGGGCTTCTAGAGCGCACAGGCTCAGTGGGCATAAGCTTCATCATTTGGATGGCATGTGGCCTGCTCTCGCTGCTTGGTAATTAAATATTTTGTATAAAACTATTTTCATATTTTTTAAAAACTGTAAATATGATATTTTGTATTATTAATGCTTATTAAAAAAAAACTTTCAATTGTTGGTTTCAAACATTTATCCAAGCTTTACATATAATCTACTATTAACCTATTCGTATAATAGACATTGTGAACAACAAACAACTGATAAAATCACATTGTAATAATTAAGATCAGAAAATATTTTATTTTCATTTATCATCGAAACACAAAATAAAAATAACGTGTGTTAATCGATGTTTTTTCGAAATTTAAATTCGTAATTTTTAAAATGTAATAACTATGTTGCCAGGGGCGCTCGCATATGCGGAGCTGGGAACAATGAACACGTCGTCCGGTGCTGAGTATGCATACTTTATGGACGCGTTCGGAGGACCGCCCGCATTCCTGTTTTCATGGGTAACTTTTAACAACATTATTGCGCGAATGTAATTTAATACGTAAGTTTTACAGTCATAAAACTACACGTGGATGGTTTGTTTCACTGAGCTTAGGTTTTCCTCAAGAAACGCCACAAAGCAAAAGCATGGTCCTGAGTCACTTGCATCCATCGTCTTCCTGTATCTCTTACAAGGTTTTCTCTGAAATCTTGCAGAGGTATGAACTGATGACAATAACCTGTATTCTCACTAGGATCATTACAGTTCATGATCAATGCAGGTTGTTTAATTTTAATTTAATTAATTTATTTTTAATATATTTTTAATTTTAATTTGAAAACTTAGAGTTAGTGTGCCGGCTTATCGCACGGAAATTACTTTAAAAACAGACAAATTATTTTGTGTCTATTCCTTAGTGTTTTCGAAAAGTTATAAATAAGAAAATACAAAAGACTAATTGATATAAAGTTTACGTCTCATGCCGATAGGCAAAGTGTGGGGCGATAGGCTGGGGAAAAAACTTTATCCCTCAATTATATCCACTGACAAGAGATAAAATTATCTTGTCCTTATGCCAAAGCACGGCAACGGGTAGAAGTATATCCCCGTTTGACATAACGAGTAGACATATATCCCCCGTCCGTATCATGGGACCAAAGGAAAGATAAAAAATTATGCTTCCTTGACATTTGAAAGGGACAATTTTATCCTAGTTCATTGGACGTGGGTTTAAGTTTATATTCATACAAAAATCTATCTAAGTCTATCTCCCATTTTATCTTATGTGGATATTATATCCACCGGTGTGCCCATGCTCGAAGGGTGGATAAAACTAAGCGAGGGGATAAACATTTTCTCCTTTCCCCGGGATAAAATATCTCATGCCCATGCCCTGCTAGTAAGAGAAGCAGGAAGTCGAAGTATGCAAGTGGGTCAGGACCGTGCTTTGTGGCATTCCTTGGGCCTATGTTTAGCAGTGGACTTGTGAAGGGATATAATGATGATAATGATGATGATATAAAATTTAACACAACAAGTTATTTATGTAAATTAAAATGTACTTGTTACTACGTTCATTAAAATACAGAGGTAGGTAGTTGCTCCAACGATAATAAAACAAACTTTAGCAAAAAAAGCATAACCTAGTGATTTCGTGTTTACAAATATTAGGAAAAGAAACTTGCTAGGGGATCTACTCGAGGATAACTTATGCTAACAACGCTTACATTTACAGGTATCGACACTGGTGCTGAAACCTTCACAAATGGCTATCATTTGCTTGAGCTTCGCCAAATACGCGGTTGAGCCGTTCGTGTCCGAGTGCGAGCCACCAGACGCGCTAGTCAAGCTTGTAGCAGTTATTTCCATAGGTGATAATTTGATAATATTAAAATGTGATCGATGATTTAGGTAGTTTTACTTCTATTAAAATTTTACCGAACTTCTAAGAATATAATAAAACTGTCTAAAATAAAAAGTTGATTGTAAAATCAAAGTAAACCAGTGTGTATATGTGGGCGAGTGAGATAAATATTTCATTTTAAAATTGTAACGTGTATAGTTACTGAAATAAATTATTTATAACCAATCGAGGGTATCGGTTCCGCATTCATCACCAACCTTCTTGCCGTGCTTTTTTATAGGATAAGGGTGAAAAACGGGCACACAGTCCACCCGATGTTAAGTAGTTGCTGTGGCCCATAAACATCTAAATCTATCCTCGACTAGAAATCAAAATGCAGATGCGTTGTCACCCGTAAGGATTAAGATGGAATGTTTCGTTTCCAGTAAAATGGGTCTCCGGTTCTCTACACTCACTATACGAAACACAGCAGTGTTAAGTTGCTATTTTACACTGGTATTCTGTGAGGGGTGGTCCTTCCCCGGTCAAGCGGATCAATTCGTGCTACAACTATACTACTAGCATAGCTGCAGCATGGCTCTACCACGTATGGTGGTATACCTATGCTTTTCAAATTTTCAATTAAATAAATATAAGGTCTTAGTAACGTTAAGAAGAAGGACTGTGAAATGACGGAGTAAGAAAACCCACTACCCCATATCATCATCTCGTGGATGACGTAAGAGACAAAAGTAGGAAAAAGAATGAATGAGAGGATGGGCAGCAACACCTTCAGCCAAGAATCCAAGAAAGAACTATGGACTACATACGTACATAGAACATTTTATGTATGCTAATAAACATGTACTTTAATTAACTAGGAATATGATGTTTGCTGTATATGAATGAATATGATTTTGTTGCAGTGATGATCCTGGCTGTTAACTGCTATAGCGTCAATTTGGCCACGAACGTGCAGAATATCTTCACAGCTGCTAAATTAGTGGCGATTGCCATTATTGTTTGCGGAGGAGCTTACAAATTGATATTAGGTAATAATTTAGTTAGATATGTAAGAAATATCTGTTTGAACCCAAGAAGCTTATAAAAGTTTGTTACTATTTCATACATTTATGTACATTTGTATTTTGTGAAAATCTGTAGACATTCAGCACTAGCGTTATCTAAACTTCATTCTCTAAATAAATTATGTAATTAGAAATTATTAATTTATTTGTAAAATATTTATTGGCACAATTTTTTACGAATATCGTTAACACCGATTCACTTAACCATCTCTAAGCACGATCAGGGTTGCCAGACTTTTTTTTGGGAAAATTTTCATACCTGTACAGTGTTCATTACACAGATACGCGGTAAATCTTACTTTGGTTCTGGCTACTCTACACTACTTGCCATCAAGAACTAACAGCATCAATAGCTTAATAACAAAGATCATTGATCATGCTATCATAATGGGATGTAAATATATAGATACAGACTGACAGGTGGTTGTGTCCGTATGGTGCAGGTAATACGCGACATTTACAGGAGCCCAACTTCGCCAGTAGCACGGCGACTCTGGGCAACATTGCCACCGCATTCTACACCGGCCTATGGGCCTACGACGGTTGGAATAACCTCAACTATGTCACCGAGGAAATTAAAAACCCATCCAGGCAAGTGTCCAGGACCAGTTATTATAAATTCCGTTTTCTTAACAATTAGTTTATCATCTTCACGACTGCACATTCACTTAAGTTAACGTAGTAATCCCAAGCAACACACAAGCGTTATGAACATCAATATACCAGCCCACATCGAACTTTTAAAAGCGTATAAGAGTGTTGAAGAGAGGTTGTATCCTTATAAGAGTGGTTTCTGAGTTTTTATTCAGCTCAACCTGTATAAAGTCTCTATTATGGGATCTAATTAAGCTTAGGGTTCTTAATCAGAATATGAAAAGTAGTATTTTATCATTAAAGTTGTATAAAAGCTGTTTTTGCATACTGTCCCTTGCTTATACAGCTCTAAGGGTTATTATAGTATCACTAAAATCTTATTTCTGAACAATGGTGTATGCAAATTCTCTTAAACTTATTCTTATGATGTTATAGTACACTTTTGTAAATACAGTAGTTTTATGACTTCTGTCTATGAGATTGATATAAAACTAAAAAAATAAATAACAGCCATAGTACAACTTAAATCTGTATAAGTGACAGAATATCGCCATTTTGCATGCGTTGCGTGTTTATATTATGCTAGTGAACAAAATTAATTTGTTATCTTTAACATAATTATTATGTTATAAAAAAAGAAAAAGATTTGGTGCAGTTAAAAGATCATGTTAAATCTAAATTAAATTTATCCAACACTGTTCCCAAGACAAGGTTTTTCATATTTTATATACGTATACGTAGAGATACGTCTCTAAAGACAATTATATGAGCTGTGTCTCGCCAGTAACGCAAAGTCAGGGATTTGCATTAAGAAAAACCCCAAATTACTCTCTTTAGGTGCTAATTAGGTGCCAATTTAAAAATTAATTTGCTTGTAATATTTTCTAGTCATTAATTTATTTGTGATAATATGTATGATTAGTGTTGCACACACACACACACACACACACAAATTTACACACACTTTTTAGTAATTTCTTAAAAGTGGGCAGGGATTTTGCTTCTTTAATGTTTTTAGGTAATTTGTTATAGTGTTGAGCTCCCTCGTAGAAGATACTCCTTCTTCCATAGTTTGTTCTATGTATTCTCAAACATATCAATACAACTCGTCAATAACTTCGAGCTTAGTGCTCCCAACAACTAACAACTAGTTATACGATAAATATTAATAGCAAGGAATTAAGTGCTAATTAGGTGCTGCAAGATTATTGAGGTCGGATGTAGATGACGGTAATATTCGGGGATTATTGGATCCGGGACCACCATTACCTTACTATAAGGTATGAACGGCTTTCTTTGTCCTTTATCAGTTATATATTATAAGATGAGATAGGTCGAATCTGTACTAAAATCGAATCAGAACGCCCCGACTCCACATAGTCGTGTCCAGTAAAATGTTGGAGGTGTGTCCTAGAGTGTTTTTGTAAAGCCGTAGGTGCGGAGGGAGAGCAGCCCCCGCCCGCTGTTGCAAATCGCAGGCATCTCTGTGAGCCGTAGAGGCTGAGGCCGAAGCTGCGTAGGTGAGCATGGGTGTATGTGATTTGCTACGCAAGCGTACGCCCTGCATGCTAGGCCTACGGCTGCATTCCCCGTAGCGCCGAAGCCGTTGCAGAAGTAACTATGTCAATATTCCTGTGTAAAAAATAAGGTTATGGTCTTACAAAAAAAAATTTTACTCATAAACTGTACATTTCCGCCAGGGGGAAAGTGTAGTGGGGCTTCCCCAGGACCCTACCCCTCCTCCCACCCCATTCCACCCCCATACGCAAGTACCGTATGTCTATAGTTTTACCATTTTCAGAAGAAGACTTGAATTTTGCACCTCATTGGTTCTGAATAACGACTTTATTATTATTAGGGGCGCCTATACTTGCAGCACCTAATTAGCACTTAATTCCTAGCTTTTAATATTTATCGTATATCTATTATTGTCTCTGTCCGCAAATTTCAACCGTTCATTGAAAATTTTAGCACCCCTAATTTTGGGTTTTTCTAAATGCAAATTCCTGACTTTGCGTTGCTGGCGATACACAAATAATTATATGTTATGTTGAAAAAACTGCTATACAGCGTAAGTAATAAAAATATCCTATAATAACTGATTAAAAAACAATGGCTGCATGATATAATCCCTAACATACATAGCTACTAAGACTATAAGACCCTCATAATACCGTTTAGGCTGTTTAGCAAATTGTCGCCATTGTAAGACCCATAAAAACAAAATTTAAAATATAATTTTCGGAATATTAGACATTGCTCTAAGCCTATACTTACGTTACTTTCAGTTTGACTAATGATCACTGTGCCCCAATGTGCCTTCATATCCATTAATTATTCTTTTTTTTTATTCTAACCTATACAACCGATATTTAGTTATCGTACTTATTTAGTATTATGTCCTTATATTATTTTGTTATTTTTTGATAGAAAAAATATACAATTAAACTAAAAAAATAAAAATGCTACAATTATCACCGTCTAAACTCAACTCCAATCCAAATATAATATTAATATGTTAAATATTCCTGCACGCTAAATATCCAGCACGGGATAAGATTTGTATGGCCTACAAATAATTGTTACGGATCTGGATGTTTGTCCTCGTGCAATCTATGTTTGTAAACTATCTCCACGATACAGGAGAAAATCCTAGTGTGGGGTTAACGTTAAAAAAATATATGTTAAGACATTAAATGTCGCTATTATACAATAAACGTTTCTTTTTGTTTTATATTAATTTGTAATACCGTTCAAAAACCAATTTAGAACGTTTGTCTTTAAAAGTTACTTATAAGACAGTATCTGTAGTGTAACAGTTTCCTTGCACACCAAATAACACCTGTAATACAGCAGCTATACAGCCTCTTTTATGCTTGTACAGCTACTGTACAGGGCTACTAACGCATAAAGTTGCATAATTTGTGCCAATTGTTTTCCTTCAAGAACTGTATAAGCGCTTATACGGCTTTTATACAGCCAGAAAATACAGCCTCTAATATAAAAACGAACTTCATTACAGCTCGTATACAGCTTGCATGCTGCTTGGGATACTTATTATATTTTACAGTAATCAATGTAAAACGCTATATAGTACTTAGTACCTACTTACCTAGCTATTTGCGTAAATTGCTATATTAATAATGTATTTACATATATCGTAATAATAATGTCAAGCTCAAGTACGAGTAAATCTTCCTGTGAAGCCTTTTCTTGCAATAAGACGTTAAGCCTTAAGCTTATGCTAACGACATAATTAAAGATAGTTGAAATATTATTATACTAAGTGACTTTAACAACTTGTATTAAGAATTTGACTGTTTTGTGTTATTTTTAAGTGTATCCTAACAGATCGTTTAATCGCATCATATAATATTGCGATATTCACAAATCTTGAAAAGATAATTCACAAGAAATTATTAATTCGAATAATTTTTTCAAGAAACGCATGCCCGAGCTTCGTTGAAAAGGCTAGCTCTAGCAGCAGATTTAAAAAAATATAACAACATTTTTGCTTTTGTTCTATAATTTGAAAATATAATGCAATGTTATAGGAACCTCCCCCTGAGCATAATTATCGGTATCCCGCTGGTGACCCTATGCTACGCGCTTGTGAACGTGTCCTACTTGGCCGTTATGTCGGTGAGCGAGATGGCAGACAGCGAGGCGGTGGCCGTCACGTTCGGGAACAGACTACTGGGGCCGATGGCGTGGCTCATGCCTCTTGCAGTCACAATCTCCACCTTCGGATCTGCTAATGGAACTCTATTTGTTGCGGGAAGGTAAATCAATAGTGTTAGCAATTCTCGATAAATATTCATAAAGGAGGTTTCTTTTCTATTTTCAATATTTGTTATTATTTTGCGATCAAAAACGTCATTATGGTCTTACTACAAACTTTTTTTAGAATTAGGATTAGGAAAAAATCCTTATGCATATAACCAGTGCTAAACATAGGCCATGATGCTATATATTTGCCATAGATGCCACGCTTAGTATGCAGGTTAGTAACTGCAGTTTTTTAACTATTTTTGAGTTGTTATCAGGACGATGCTACTACCCATCTCTTGTATCATTTCATTCTGTCACTTTACAAAACAACCACGTAGTATGTTATATATAATATATATATATATATATGTTATAGTCAAAACTAATAACCGCTCAAAACCACTTTAGACTGTAAAAAATCAAGCAAAAGTAGTTTTGACTAAGGCCGTTGATCAAATTTACTTTTAACTGCAAAAATACTGGGTAATAGTGATTTTGACCAAATTACATCGGTTAAAAGTGTTTTGACCAACAATGTTAGTCAAAACTTCTTTTGACTTTTGCTTTTTGAATTTCTGAAATTAAAAAGTTCAATTTCTTCAAGGGCCACTCTAGTAGGCTTGGGCAAAAAATATCGATATTTTTTAATAAAAATATCGATATATATCGTCGATATTGTAAATCGTGATATATCGATATTTATTTTAGAGTATCAAATTCGTATCAATTTCGATATATATTAAAATGTTGTATGGTTTTTTTTCGTCGTCCAACCGTCAGTAAATAAAATTTTGGACCTTATCTTTACATCATGCAAATTATGACGATATATCGATATTTATAACGCAATATATATCAATACTGTTTAAAAATATAGATTCGATATATATCGATATATTCTTTTCCCTTGCCCATCCCTACACTCTAGCCGCACCTTAACCTACTGTTACTGATGTTGCGAGTTTTGACGGGTGGTCTGAAGTTTAAATCAGACAACACCATTTTTTACTAAGAACGTTGGTTAAAACCACTTTTGACTACAAGAATCAGTCAAAACTGTTTTTGACTAAGGGCATCGGTCAAAACCATTTTGCCTGATTTTCGCAGTCAAAAGTGGTTTTGACCGGTTATAAGTTTTAACTGCGACATACATATATATTATTTTAAAAAGAAAATCATTAATTTTTTGTTTTAGAGAAACGGAGCTTTTTATCTTTAAACGCATTTTTATAACAAAAATGTCTGTACGCACCTTTATTCTACCTTCAGGTTGTGTTTCGCGGCATCGCGTGAGGGACACTTGCTTGACATTCTATCGTATGTCCACGTACGCCGTTTCACTCCTGCTCCTGGACTCATATTCCACGTAAACGCCTTTGTAATATAATATAATGGAGTTTCTAAAGAGGAATATTGTCATTACTGTGTTAATCATCTTCTTTCAGTCTCTGATTGCCGTGGCCATGGTTTTGTATGGAACCATCGACTCTTTGATTGATTTCTTTTCATTTACTGCATGGATATTCTACGGCGGTGCGATGGTAGCACTAATAGTAATGCGATACACAAAACCACATGCGCCGAGGCCTTACAAGGTTTGTACATAAAAATTAATAATTAAAAGTGTTTTAAAACATTTCAATATTTTGTTAATTCCAGTTCCAATACCAATTTATGCCGGCCACATACATTCACAAAAAAGAGCCGTGGTAGCTCAGATGGTTAGCGCTCGCTATAAGCTCACAGTACGCGAGCAAGCCGGGTTCGGTCCCCGCCGGCACTAATAAAATTGTTAGTTGCAATTTTAAGTGCTGATTTACCACATGCTGGGCGGTGAAGGAAAACATCGTGAGGAAACCTGCATGGATGACAAATTCAAAAAGGTATTTTGAAGACGTGTGAAGTCCGCTAACACGCATTGGGGCAGCGCGCCAGTCACTTCCTTGCCCTAAGACCCTCTCAGAAATGAGAGGAGGCCTGTGCCCAGCAGTGGGACGTATATAGGCTATATCTTTAACATACATTCGGAATTCCGATCGGGATTCCGAACGCAGCAAATCTATATAAAATCAAGGACCTATTACACACGTACAGTAAGTCGTTTTCCGGAATCCTGAAACGGAATCCCGGATGTATGTATGTGGCCGGCCTAAGTAAGATTAGCTTTCAAAAATACCTAGTAATAAATGTGGCCATTCCCTCAAATCATGTGTAATGATCTGAGGGAATGGCCATGTTGGTTTGGCCAATGGTTCTTATGGTTATAAAAGAAATTTAAAAATTTTGTAGGTGCCCATTATAATTCCGTACATAGTTCTTGTGGTATCATCATATTTGGTCGTAGCGCCGATATTGGACAAACCGCAATGGGAATACCTTTACGCGACTGCCTTTATTTTAGGAGGACTACTGGTTTACTTGCCCTTTGTGAAATGGGGATATTCTTTGCCGTTTATGGGTAAGAAATTTTAACTAATTTAGTTTTGTAAATTTAACTTCTAAAAGATGAAATACCTACTTTGAAAATAGTTTTTTGTTTTCATAGATCAGAGAGAGAGTATTCTTTATGAGTAATTCATTCAAAATCATCAATTTATTGAAAAAAATTGCACATCGATTGTCCATTTTTTCTAAATTTTCGATTTTGATTTTCCTTGTATCTTATTTTTGCATCCAAGAAAAAGACATTATTTTGATGTGTTCAATACTTTTAATGAATTTTACTATTTATGTCATCATTCAATTTTACTTACCTCGCAGTCGATTAAATATTTATATTTAAATATAAGCTCTTTTTTAATAAATTCAATATATTGACTTTTAGATAAAATAACCGTTTTCCTACAAATGGTGCTTGAAGTGGTGCCAACGTCAACTACTTTCGAATACTGAGAGGTCTCTGCTGGACTTTAAAAAGCATTTTCGGAAATTATTTCTGTTATTATTTATCTGAATAGTTATGTTTGTTATTATTTGATGATTCTGTGAGATTGTGGCCTCATCTGGTTTTTATTATTGTAATTATTTGGATAAAGTTAAATATCTAAAGCAAATGCTGTATTTTATTGTTCAATGTGAACTTTTATTATTGGGTAATTTTAATTGTTATTGGCATTTGTTTGGATTTTTAATTTATTTAAAATAATATAAATTAATACGTAAACAACAATGACGTCTGTAAAAAGTATTTAATTCTTCGGCAAAAGTATTGAAACTTTAAGTAAGTAATTAAAATGTGTAATTTTAATTTTTGACTGAAATTTATTATGTTATTATTATGTTATGGGTATTATGTTCCTTTGGTAAGCTACCCCAAAATAAAAAGCAATTATATCAAAATTATTAAAAATAAATACGAGATTGTTTATAATATGTAACATTTTTATAATATTGTTATATCCTATTTTTATACAGTCATATTATAAATCACGTGAATTGAAGTTCTTGGGCCGATACTAAAAATACTTAAATTTTTATCTTAATTACATTTTATATTTAATTTTATATTGTAGATTATTTTAATGTTTTTTAAACCGCGAGTACATTTAAAGCTCACGATTGCCGCTGCTAGGTAGGTACTAGGTACATCAAAATTATCTCTGTCCACAAAAATATCAAGAAATTTAAAATTAGAATTTTGCACACCTCGAACGCGAAAGAGGTTAGGCTTTATAAAGCCGACTGTTTTTAAGTTAGATGAGTAGTTCTTCATCGACCATTTCATTAGTTTGCACGAATCATTCCTGTGTGATCAAGCAATTTCGAGATACTTAACCATATCGGTAAACAGTATTAAATCACGATTTAACTGGTGCCATTGTTAACATAAACAAAATGATCTCGAATGAGCTTGTCCTTTTTGCATCACTATGAGTGATTGTGCTAAACTCATAGTTAGTAGTGTATCGCCTCATTAATAGCCAACCTTAGTTTGTAATCTTATTCTTTAAAAGTGTGTTATATTTGATTCGATTTGTTATATTTTTCTTCTTCGATATTTAAATTTGTTAGGGATTGTTTAACAGATTTTCGCCGATACCGTAAACATATTTTTAAAACCTATGAGATAACTATAGGTATCATAAAATGTTTGGTTTACAAAAACTGTTGTACATTGTGTAACATAGTATTTTTAACATTTTTACCATCCAGAGTAAATAAAGGAGAATCTGTAATATCTTCAAAAAAAAAGTACTTTTTCACATATTAATTTGTGTATTTATATTGTTGATGGCGTTTTAGCAAAGGTTAAAGACAATCTGTTACACTATCCTATTTTAAAGACTAAACAATGGTTTCATCGAATAAAGAATTATACTTATTTTGTAGACGGTTGATGTCTGCGATCGGTAAAAATTGGTCTTATCATTCCTTACCGGGGCAGAACAAGACTGTCAAAATTATGTTTTACTAATAATATTTTCATAAATGATGTTTTTTTATACGTATAAAATATCAAACCCTTACATATTGGAAGTAATCTACTATGCTGTAACCGCTGACGAGTTTATCCCAGTACCTTTTTAAGTAAAATTGGGCACACATATGTACACACACCTTACGATGTGATATTATTAATTAAAACGAAAGGTTTTAAGTTGTGTACAGAAAATACCACATAATACAAACCTTTACAGACATTAAATATCTTATGTACTTACTTATTGTTCTCTTTTGGGAGGAATCAAAATTATTTATTGTTATACACTACTACATTGATTATTTCAAATTTTAAATAAAGACAACTGAAAGTTCATATTTTGTTTTGTTTTTTCGTGTGTGATTTCAAGATTCCACAAGGTTCTCTTAAGCAAAGTTTTTATATCCAGAATCAGCAAACGGTATTCGTTGAGTCATACAGGTTCGCACAGCAACATTGGCGCATCCCAATAAGGAGGTGGCGATGTATGGGGATATCCCCCCCTAATCCTTCACCCGCCCCCATCAACATGGTAGTGGAATAAAATGAAAGACTACCCTAGGAGGTACCAGCACGCCTGGAGAATCCTTCGCTGAGCATCCACGACCAAGCTACTCCACTCCTTGAACGTGGGTGCTTAGGTTGCGCGTATTCTGGGAGGGGGAGGGGGGGGGGCAAAGATCCGCCTAAAACAATAACTGCTCGGGCCAAACAGATGTCCCCTGATATTGCAGAAATCCTCCCAATTGTGCTGAGGGCGTGTGATCCGTTCGTATCACCTCCTTGTTCTCCAAAATAATGGTATTCATTATAAACTGCCAGCTCATGCGGTACCTTGAGAATCACCAGCTGATTAGTAACCGCCAATACGGTTTTCGTCGGGGTCGATCAGCTGGTGATCTTCTGATCTACCTGACTTATAGATGGGCGGAGGCGGTAGAGTCCAAGTCCCGAAAAATTGTGCAATTGGATCACCAGCTATCTTGCAGATCGGAGCATCAAGGTCATTGTAGACTGTACATGCTCCGACTACAAGCCTATTAATGCTGGTGTTCCACAAGGCTGCAAGCTATCACCAACGCTCTTTTTTCTGAATATCAACGATATGTTGCGAAGCGGTAGGCCGGTAGGTAACATTAATTGCTATCTGGATGACAACACTGGTGATGCTCTATACACCGGTCGTGCCAATATTTCCCGGGAAAGCGTCGCCAAGTACCGGAACAAACTTGTGTCTGAAGTCGAGTATTTGCTGAACAAAGTCTCGGATTGTGAGCGACTAAATCTAGTCCAGTTTAATCCTCTGAAGACACAAATTTGCGCGTTTACCGCTAAAAAGAACTTCTTTGTCGTATCTCCTCGGTTTCTAGGCACTCCCCTTGTTGCCTCAGCCAGTATCGGAAACCTCGACGTCCACATATCGAGTGACGTGCAGTTTCGTGGTCACTTCAAAGAGAAGGCCAAATTGGCCTCTAAAAAGCTTGGCGTGCTCAGCAGAGCGGGACAGTATTTCATGCTGGCGCACCACCTGCAACTCTACAAGGGGCAGGTTCGGCCTCACATAGAATACTGTTCCCATCTCTGGGCTGGGGCTCCCTAGTGCCAGCTCCATTCACTTGATCGAATCCAGCGCAGTACCGGCTCGAATCGTCGACGACCGAGTCCTTACCGATCGGCTCGATTCACTGGCGCTGCGAAGAGATGTTGCATCACTTTGCATTTTCTTTCGCATTTACCACAGGGAGTGTTCCGAGGACTTGTTCGGATTAATCCCAGCCGCCAAATTCCACGAACGAACATCGTGGCATAACTCCCGATACCATCCACACCATCTGAATGCTTGGCGGTCCACCACTGTACGTTTCACTAGGAGTTTTCTTCCGCGTATGACCTCTCTGTGGAATTTACCACCGGCGATTTTTCCGGACCGATATGACTTAGGTACCTTCAAGAAAAGAGCTTACTCCGTTTTAACGCCGGCAACGCACCTGAAATTCCCTTGGTGTTGCAGTTGTTCATGGGCGGCGGTAGTCACTTACCATCAGGTGAGCCGTATGCTCGTTTGTCCCCACTCCTATAAAAAAAAATAGAATAGTTGTGGGAGGCACTAAGCTATGTTGTTGAAGTGATGGTGAAACACTAATTTGATGATGAGTATGTTTACCAGCGACAATTTATCCGACTAAGTCAATCCAACTTCGGCCGAGAGGTCAATCGACGGATCCAACTCAACTAGGCAGCGTTCGGAAAATTACGACAATTCTTCTCGTCACGTATACTTCAAAACTTGAAAACAAGAGAGTAAAACCAGTGCGTGTTGCCATTGATGACATATGGATTCACTGCTGGCCGTATGAGGAAGCTCAATGTCTCTCAGCAAGCTAATGGAGAGAGCTATACTTGGGGTTCCTCTGCGTGAAAGAGGACATAATAAAGATATCCGCAGTAGATCCAGAGTAACCGACATAATATCCCAACGTAAGCTGAAGTGGCAATGGGCCGGCCATATAGTAATACACATTGTGTAGATATGCACCAACAGCGGTAGGTGGTATACGACTGTCGCCACCAGGGCTCCAGACACACCATCCACTACTGAACTGCGGTCAACCTCTAGACAGTACCACATCAGTGATGTTATTTTAACATTTTACAGTTTGACAAAGTACATTGAAGCACTGCAAGAATTGAGATTAAAGTCGCCTACTATTATAATTTCCCAGCCAGAATATTTACATACTGCATTATCTTTACAGCGCAATGCGCTAATTTTAATTTCGCGGTAAATAAACAACACAAAGAAACTTTAGATTTTTCCGACTGACAGTAGCAAATATTATATCGATATCCGGCGTGGTATAGCAACATGAGTAAAGAAATAACACAAATGACTTCTGCTGCGGCTGTTATGTTATTAATAATTTAGTTAAAAATAAATTTTTCCTGCATAACGCAATATTTGATCGCAGACCGCGCACATTTTAGTAACACACGTTGATGTTTTCAGACTACGTCTAATTTTTGTTTGTGACGAAAGTTTTGTCGCCCAGACGTTATGCATATATCCTGGGCCCAGTTTGAATGAGCAATAATAATGCAGTCGGGACACATACAACTGCGTCTTAGGTGTAACAGGACGCAGCAGCATCATCGTTCCGATCAGTGCGCTACGGCAATAATTACGGGGATGAGGCTTGTTCTTTTTCATCTTCTTCTCCATTTTAATAAAACACTTGATCCGTCTACATTATATATGTTGCCGCATGCAATGCTTCGAACAGGTTCAGAGAGTCTTTGTACGCCCTCGGATTTATTTTAGACAGCCGCAGTTTAGTGGATAGTTGACTAGCAGCAGCTGACTAAGCATATCGAGATTTTGACATTTTACGCTTGACGGCATCCCGGCAACGGGGGCCGCGGTAAAGGCGGGGCGGGGTTTTACTTCACTTGCTTCTTAGAAGACGAGTCCAAT